TTTTCAAAACAACCAGGTCAGATCCACTTCGGAATCTGAAACGGTTCTCTCGAAGCACGAAGCGCCGCCCTCATTTAATGCCCCACGTCTCAATACTCAAAAACAGAACATCCTTCATTATGTCCATGACACTTCGTTTCTTAAAATGACAGTTCAGATATTTGATAACGCCAGCCAAGAAAAGCGGAGCCGTGATGGGTAAAGAAGGATGCCCGATGATGTCAGTCACGTCGATAGACGAAGATTTCTCAGTTTCTTGTCCCAAGCAGACTTGTACTGATAAGAGCATATCTTATTTCACTCAGACAAAAGTCGACTCCAAGCGAAAAGGGCTAACTGTTAAGGTGTTTACTCACCCAAGATACGAGTATTTGTAAAATGATACATTCATCGCCTTGGCAAACTGGTCTCAACCAACTTAATGGCCCAAGCCCAACAAAAGCTTCGACTCCGCCGACTCATCAAGTCGACATTCTTTCAGGCCGACACGAAAGGCGGGGTCAGCCGACCCTATCGTCGAAGACGACCCACCAAGTGCACTCGACCACATACTTAGCAACTCACGAAGACGACTTGATGGACATTCCCTGCTATCGAATAAGCTGAGGAATTACCTCCGCCTTAAGCCTCTCCCCCAGAGTATATGTCAACATCCTAGTCCATCTCGGACAAGCCTTATCCTGATTCGGGCCTGATTGTCTCCATGACTTGTCAGCTGCCCATGTGCCTTCTGTCATGTCCTCAATCACTTTCCAGAGAATGCAGAGACACCCTTTCCCGTGCCGAAATAACTTCCCCTCTAGTCGCCAGCCGACACCTGTAAAGCGAGGGATGACTCAGCTCTTAGCCTGCATTTCACCACCACCTCCCTATGCTTGGCTAGAAGTGACCTATTTATCCCCATGACGGAGATATATACAGGTAGACTCCTAACCTCAAGGGAGGCTGGCTTGGCGGACTCCTAGCCTGCAGTCATCCTAATCCCTATCTTCTTTAACTATATTATTGTCCTGTGATAGTTAAACCATTAGCACTAAATAGATCTCATTGCTTTTCTCAGGATGAGATTAATAATGTCGATAATTAATATATCGTAGCTGTATCTCCTCGTCTTCCTGCTTAAAAGTTGTCATCCTAGTCATTATCTTCCTGTTTGAAACATGCCTTTATGAGTTTCTTTACCAGTAGCTTACTCATCCAAATTTTAAAATTTTTAATGATTTTTTATAGTTTCTTGATTTCAATGTAATGTTTAATAACTTTGTGTATTTGTAAATTACAAAATTTTAGGGTGTTTTTTTTACAATTTTAAAAACTTTTGAGGGTGTTTCTTTTATAGTTTTCTAAATTTTCATTGTGTATTTAGTGTAATGCATAGATACGGTCAATTAATGATGATATTGAAGAGTAAGTCGTTCTTAAGATGCATTATGCCATAGTTAAGTGTGCACATCACTAGAAATAATATAGTTTATATATGCAAAAAATTTTAGACAAACTATAGAGCGGTTAAATTTTTTTGACTTTAATGTACTATTTTTTATAGATTTCATTTAATGTGAACCCACCATATAAGTATAACTGTGGTCATCATAATTTTAATACGTTTGATTGATTGACTATATATGTATATAGACTATAAATTAATTTACTTTCTTGCATAAACCAATATTTAGCCATTAATAATTTAAATTATTACTTTTAAATTTAATATAAAGAGGAGCTCATTACATTTAATTATTTACCTACAGGATAATACAATCCCAATTCCTATTTTTTGCTTGAGATTTATTCCATAGTTACGCGTATGAAATTAATAACTAAAATAATAATTACTTATGCTTAAATTAGGATGATTGTAGCTGGTCACTCACTATAAAATTTTCATAAGATATATACCTTTGTATATATGTATATTTTATAAATTGGTTGTTAATTTGATATATTAAATTATTTTTTCTTTGTAGAAATTTCTTCTTTGACTTTTAGATTGTGTAATCACTATATCACCATTTTAGCGTAGAAAGAACATTACTTTAAATGGCTTCAATCCAATGTTTGAGTTGAACTAAAGTATATATTATTGCTACTATATGTATATATTTTTTAAGAAAATCATGTCAACACTTTTTAAACAGAAAAAAATATTTTAACATCTGATATTATAAAAACTAAATATGACTAATTGAGTGATTAGCAAAAGAGGACTTACATCAGAAAAACATGAATAATAAGATAAAGAGGAAAGGTAATGTCATTGCCAATAGTGTTATCAATAGCAAATTATAATGTAAAGTTAACCTATTTTGTGGAGCCCATCTACTGGCTATAAGCATCGAGGTTTTCATATATATACACTTTATAATTTATTAAAAAATGGTCATATAATCTTATATAATAAAATTGATTTAATACTGAATAGTAATATTATTGTAAATGGGCAATTACAAAGATGTTATGGACTAATATGTATGTATTTAAGTTTCAAGACGAATATCTTAATAACCTAATTATATAAGCACGTCCACTTTGTCACCTATTCTGTTCACTTTTCTCCTCGCTCATTCTCTACCAATTTCACTGTCACGTTCGAAGAGAAATAGAATTCATGTCGGTGAGGTCTTCTCTCTCTCTCTCTATCCCTCGATCTTATATTTTCTTAAATTAGTTTCTTAATTTTTTTAATAATTTCTTGGATTTATTTCATGCTTCATTCTGTGAAGTGCCTTGTTAGATTCAATTTAAATATAATTTTATTTCAATTATTTAATTTTCCTATTTATGGGTTAATTAATCACCAGAATGTTTAGGTCTTTTCGCCCATTTTATATTTTGAATTAACAGTTTATTTTAGGAGAATTTTTAAAAAGATTAATTTTAAAAATATTAGTAAAATCGACTACTTTACATAATAATTAACATAATTGACCTCTATTTTGCCACATCATCAAGACTGGCAAAAAAGACGTTGATTTTGTAAAAAAACTATTTTTAAAATACATGGGACTAATAGTCCCGTGTAATTGGCGAACATTAATTACAAAAGTAATTAAAGTCATAAAACATACGAAACTACCACTCTTGCGTATTTTGTAGTGGGAACCAGAAAATACACGAGACTATTGTGTATGTCCTATATACAATACAATTGCCCCAGGCAAGTGAGTTATAATAGTATTTTTTTATTCATTCACATCGGTTGGGGCAAGATTTGATAGGGACCTTGCATCAAAGGAAAAAAATATATTTAGAGCGCATGGCAAAATATATCATAATCTTCTTGCTCTAATTTTGTAAGAAAATAATTCTTTATACTTTTAGTTTTACTTTTATGCTATGGAGAATGAGCTATAAAATTGAATGATAATATTAGATAATATAAATATGAGTGAAACCATAACAAAAAGTTTATGTGAATATAAGTCAAACCACAACTAAAATTTTAATGGGCATATTGCAAGTAAATTCATATGTAAAATCCCTTTGTGAATTAAATGATCACCCATCTTTTGAAGATTTAATTGGTTCGCAACTAAGGCCCGTGGAAAACTAAAAAAACCCATCCACATCACTTTTTTCCCTTCCACCTTAGATTTTTCATTTCCACGCTATTTCTTTCCCAGCTTTGTTTCGATAGGGATGAAGAGGGAAACGAAGCCGCAAATCGCTGCCACCTTAGTTTTTTTCTTCGTTCCCGATTCCCTCCCCATCCGAGTGAAACCGACAAAAACTTTGCCACATCGGATTTTTGGCTTCGTCGTTGATTTCCTTCAGCCCCTAATAGTTACCTCTCTCCTCCCGTCATAAACTCCCGCTCTCTTCTTTGCCCCTGTAATCGAAGAAATTGGGGGAGTGAGTTTTGATATTGTGCCATCAATTTATCAGATCTGATCTCTGTCGACGCTGTTGCTTCCAAAACGAAGGTAAAAGTTGTCTATCTTTTTTATTTTTCGGATTATTAGTTTAATTTAGATCAATTTAGCAGAGAAATTGGTGCCCTATTCGGATTATTAGTTTACTTTTTTCTTCGGTCCCTATTCAGATCTCAGATTAAGGTTAATGTTTGACAAGAAGTAGTTTATGCCAAATTTGAGATCTGGTAAAAAAAATTATCTGCCCGGAGTAGAATTTTGGATTTTCAGAAAAAATATTTTACGCTTGTTCTTAAAAAAGTTGGTTTTGTGTGAAAATTGTTTAAACAGATCTGAACACGTTGATTTTGTGTTCTTTAAAAAGTTGATTTTGGGAAATGTAATATCAACAAACTTTTTTTCATTTTTTTTCCATGCGAACCAAACACAAGAAAAATAAATACATTGGTTTCCCATCATTTTTTTGTGCGAACCAAAGCGAAACAATCCATTTCTTGGAAAAGTTTAAAAAACTCAAAACTTGTGTTTTTGTACATGGAAATACATTTCCTTATATCTAGGAAACGAACCAAACAACCCCTAATAAACAGAGATGTTGTGCTAGATCAATGCGTTTATAACTCACAAATAGTAGATAACGTGGCGACAGTCTGAGTTGAAGGAAGCAATGCCAATATTTCATTTGAAAGAGAGATTACTGAGTTGATGATCAATCCAGCAAAAACTTTATTTTTATGTTATTTTTATCAATTTAGATAATCATGATATTCAAACACGTACATTGCATGTGTATTTCAATTAGTTCAATAAAATAAGGCTAATGTTCCGGCTGTATATCCAAGTTATGAGTGAATGCTATATGAATTTTCTAAGACGACCTACTTTTTGTAAGATTTCAACTTCATTTAAATAGATTGGCTGTTTTATTTTTATTTTTTTTTAATTTCTTTCTTTTTGGCGAGTCATTGGCTGGGATTGAGCTCGGGGCCTAATTCTTTACTTTAGCAAATAGGCTTTTACCAAAGCCCAGTTTGGACAGACAAAGCTCAAATGGCATCGCGAAAATTTATGAGTTTTCTTAATCATTCGGGTCCAGTAACCCGACCCGAGATGATGAACTCTGCTGCGCAGAGAAGCCTCTAAATCCTAGCTCCCTCCTCAAAAGAAATTCCACTCCGTCTCTCCTTCCCCCCAAAACCCTAGGGGGAAAAAAATAATAAATAAAAAAGGAAGGGCTCGTTCTCTCAGATAACTCAATTTTCCTCTAAAATTTTGAATTTTATTAAGTAATCACCACACAAGATCGATCTTAATCCCGCTTTCTCTCCTATTGGAAAAAGTTCTATCGCTTCAATGGGCAGCAAAAGGAGAGCACCGAGTTCCGCTGAAGAAACTGAAGTCCAATCTCAGAAAATGGTAACTCCTGAAGATTCCGGTCCTTTAGAATCAGTTCAAGACATCGCCCTGAAGAAAAACATAAAGCCGATGGAGAGGAGGAAGAAGAGGAAAGGACTGGATAAGGAGAGGAACCACAGTGAAGCCATAAGCAATTCTGAAGTGAAGAAGCCTGCTGAATGCCCTCCAGTAAAAGAGGCACCTTTCCATTCTTCTTCAATCAGTAGCAGCTCGCCCGGGTTCCATATCAATGTGTTTAAAGACCTGGCTTCTGCTGATTTGTTGGTCCGTAAGGCGGCAGCTGAGAAGTTGGTCGTGGAGCTGATCGAGGTTCAGAGAGCATACGAGAAGGTTGGAGGGGAGAAGGGAAAGGAGGAAGAAGGGGAAGTTCAATTGGAGGCAGAGAAGGATGATGGGTTGGATAATTGTGCACCCTCTTTGAGATATGCGATTCGGCGGCTCATTCGTGGAGTTTCCTCATCTAGGGAGGTAATGCACATTGTACTGATTGCATGATTTTATGGCTTGGTGTTGTCTTGATCCTTCATTTCGATCTTTTTCTTGCTTGAACTTGTCGATGGATATGTGTAATGACTATAATGCATCTCCTGGCTTAGGAAGTCTCATACGGTTATCCACATCTCTCTTTCCTAGACATCTAACCAGCTTATTACATTAGAAGCCTTAACATTGTATTGAAAATAATTTCGTTATCTTTCTTTATGATATTGGGGTTTGTTTTAATATTCTTATTCTTCTATATTTGTATGATTTACCCAAAACTCCTTCAAATCAGATGGATCACACTTGCAGTCTCTTTGCTAGCTTTGCTATAAATAAAATAACTCTTGTCTGGTTAAAACATAGACACACCAGAGTGTTAGAGAGTAAGAGAAAAGTCATACCTCCTAAAATTTCCGACCGTGGAAAAGCTTATGTATGTTTAGATTTCTTTGAGGTTGGGTTTATTTTTCCTCAAAACCAAGAAAATGGAGAAGTTTTAAAGATATACAACTACGATTTAGATATAGAATCCAGAGAATGCTCAGGTGTGTTTGCGTTTTTCGGGTTAGGATTCGTTTCCTTCTCTCATAATTAATGATATAGGAAGTCTTAAATGTGCGTAGATAAATGAAGAGACAGAGAAGGGTTAGAGGGTGGGAGAGTTTTGAGGAATTGGGTTTGAGTTTCTTTCTATTTTATTTTTCTCAATGAAGGCGAAAGAAAAGTGTAGATTTGATAAAAGAATATAGGGGTTGGGTTCATTCAATTTTGTTGGGTTTTGTTGGTTATTTTTCTCAAAATTAAGAGAAGTGAAAGAAGGATGTGAGATTAAGCAAAAGTATGTTGGAGGATTATGTTCTATTATCAATGGAGTTTGTTCCTTTTTCTCTATTATTTTTTTCAAATTCAAGGGAAGCATAAGAAAGATCAGATGTAGAAAGAGCAATTAAGGATTAGGTTCATATTTAGTGCATTTGAATATTCCTATGTTATCTTCCCTAATTCAAGAGGAAGGATGTGCAAGAGTATTTGTTAATTTTGGGGAATATTCTGCTTCCTCAAGTTACATTAACTGTAGAGATTGATATCAATATGAACGGTTTATAAAGTTTGTGGACTTAGAATTTTTTTACTTTAATGATTTGTCTTATGATCAAGCATAATTAGATGGATCAATATGGCAATTAGAAAAGTCCTATCATATTTGACATATTGATTCATTGAATTTGTTGAAAAATATGACCACTAAAATTTGGATTTTTTTCTTATACAGTGCGCTAGGCAAGGTTTTGCCTTGGGGTTATCCATTGTGGTTGCGAAAATTCCTACTATTAAAGTAGAACCCTTGATGAAATCAATAGTTAATTTGTTAGAAGTTTCGGCATCGATGAAGGGTCAGGTAATTATGTAAACATATCTATGTTATTCAATCAACCAAATAGTTTCTCCTATTTAATATGTAACTTTATTTTCTCAAATTACACATGCAGGAAGCTAAAGATTGTTTTTTGGGTCGCCTCTTTGCTTATGGAGCTCTTGCTAGATCAGGACGACTGGCTGCTGAATTTTTTGAAGACAATAATACGTCTTCAGTCACAGATTTTGTGAGTAATGTAATGTCTCTTGCTGGCAAGAAGCGTTACTTACGAGAGCCAGTTATGACCATTATTCTGCATGTGGTTGAAAAGGTATATGCATGTTTCTGACTTTTTCCCCCTTTTATAAACCCTATATGTAATTATGTATCATATATTTTTATCGGGTTCTGTAAAACTAAATTTATCTTCTTTTTTTGAGCAATAGTGTGTAACTTGTTAAGGCTCATACAACATTTACCTTTGTACTCCGCAAGTTTGTTTTGTTCATGACGCAAAAAAGGCATGCGATTCTTTGTAGTGATATTTGCAAGTCAAATTTCTCTACTCTTAATGCTATTCATCTTTATTCTATAACTAGCTTTAATTATCTCTCACCCTAAAGTGTAACTGTCTGCAGCCATGGACGGTAAAACCTCTTAAATTTACAATTTGCTCCCCTTTATTTAAAAGTATTTGCACCATAACTCTTACGAACATGTAGCTCATTTGAATTATTAGCTCATTTAAGGTAGAAATTTTAGCCCATTAAAGTTAGAAATTTTAGCCCATTTATTAAGAATGTGGTTTTATAATATTATTTTTTAAAATTTAGTAAATAGGTACTTGTCGTCCGCCCCCCAAGAATTTTTTTCTGGAACCACCACTGTCCATAGCTACCAATTGTCAAGGTTTTAAATGTCGGATGTCGGGTTCATGTCGGATGGCTGAAATCCATGTCGGATAGCGAAAATCGGGGATATATCGGGGGACATTGACTAAATATCGGATTGCCATATCGGGTAGTGCGCATATGTATAATATCATGTCCTAAATATAATATAAGCATTCATAAATTCAATATAAGCATACTTTATAAATTCTATAGACTAAACATATAAAAAAGTAAATAATATATGGATTTAGGTTCATAAATTCTTTCTATCGGGTTCATAAGAAACCCTTAAACATGAGAACGAGTCAAACGAGTTTGAGTATTTATCACTAAACCCAAACCCCATAACAAAAAATAGATCTTAAAAAAAGTACCATATCGATCGATTTTTTAAAGCTAAAAAATAGGCCGGTATGCCCGATATGACCCTGATATTTCCGATTTGGCCCTGAAAACCGACATACGAGTTAAAAACGTTCATGTCGTGTCGGTCAAGCCCTCAAACCGATATGTCGGCCGACATGTCGGACATGTCGGGCGACATTTAAAACCTTGCCAATTGTTAGATTATTGTAAATTGTATTTTTATGCAAGATAGTTCAAAATGTTTCTAGGATATTGCCTTAAAGATTATGTAATTAGTATTTCATACTAAATTAATACCTATGTGACTGACAATTGTTCAGCTACAGGTAGAGCTTGGCTTTGATGAATAGTTACAACTGATCTATGTTGTGCGGGTACTTCTATCATGAAGTCGTACCTGTATATGACGCAACCCGTACCCATAACCATATTCGACACTTTTTGGTTATTCCTTAATTATATGCATACATTTATTCAAACGTGTACTCAATTATACAATACATGTTTAGTTTAAAACGCTTGTCATACACCTGTTGGATATATACCATGTTACTTGGGTACTTCTAATATGGAGCCATACCCGTACTCAACACATGTTGTGCCCGTGCTTGTATCCCTACCTAACTCTTCTTGGACACTCCTTAAATATATGCATATATTTTTCAGACCAATACTCAATTATACAATGCATGTTTAATTTAAAACACCGAGTCACACAATTCTTGGATATATATCCTACACTTCACATCCATCTTTGTAACTTGCTAGTTAAGTGTCGAGTTTGTTTCAGCTTTACGAACTACGATTTAAACGGTCGTTTACATATATAGCTCAAAACTATGACTATATCTCATAAGTTTTAACTATGTCCCCATACCCTGCCTTTTACAAATATCTCGTGTCCCGTACCTGCACTTGCATGCGTACCTATGCAACTCAGGACACACACACAACACTTCACATTTAATTTTGAAACTTGTTGGACAAACAACCCATATCTTTTGAAAATTAAGATTTCAAAGTGACGTTTGCGTATTTAGATCAAAACTATTAACTGCCCATGCATTACAGTTGTCCCCATACCCTACCTTTTATAAATTTTCTATGCCCTGTACTTAGGGGTGCTAAATCGTATCCGTATCCAAAGAAATATCTGAAACTTTATCCGTTAGGATACGAATATGGTTACTCAAATCTATAACCGATAGGATATTGTTACGGATATGGGTTTGTCGTGAAATATCCGGATCTGTATCTGAAATATCCGATTACATATTAGTCATACTCTTATGATAGTTTTAATTTTTAGATTATGGATTTGTGGTTAATTTTGATGGATCAAGATGTCTAATCTTAGCTTTTCAGTTATAATGAATATATTAGCTAACTCTTTTGTATTACATGAACTATGTTTTTCTCAATACTATCTAGTTTTCTCATATCCGTTGTGTATTTGCATGTTTATCCGTAACTGTATATGATCTTAGCGGATATGGATATGAATTTTCTTTACCGATGTATATCCGTATCCGAGATGGGTAAGCGGATATGGATATGATAAGCATCATATCCGAGCCGTATCTAGACCGAATGCACCCGTACCTGTACTCATACCGACACCTATTTGTCTGTGTCCATTCAACTTAGTCACTGACATATCCATCTGACTGACCTGATATCCTTTGACTAAGATAATTACTGTCATTTAGCAAGAGGTATTTCTTTCTTTGGATTTACAACAATGGGGTATGATGGGAAGCTCAATGCTCTTGAGTTATAATTATTGTTTCTTCAGAGATATTATGCATTTTTAATTTCTTCCATAACTTTATTTTCAATCAGTTGTAGATATTTTCCTTCCAATATCGATTGTATTCTCTTTTTTTCTCTTTCTTTAAATGCAATTATTCATATACACGCTTCACACTTCTCTTGAAAAGGCGGATTTATGGTCCTTGGAATCATGACTTTTGTCCATATGATTCCAAATGATCTCAGAGTATGTGTGTCTAGTGTAGTAAACCACTTTTTCATGTGTCGTCTTATGTGCATGTATCTTCTGTGGGTTATGTTATCATTAGGTCAAATCCAATGTTACCTGATTTTTAAGGCATTTTCGGAGTTACATGCTATGTAGAAACATAATGATACTCCATAGAGCGTATTCTTTTTTTTAGGTCTATTTGTTACTAGAATTTTGGGCACGTGCAAGCATGCAATTTAATTTCATGCTTATACAAACTCTAATATACTTAAAGTGTTACAATTTAAAAAATACTATCTGTAACTTATGAAAAGAAGTGTGGGGAATGTGTGCAAGAGGACACATTGATGCTGGCACATCAATATAGTTACCTGTAGGATATACTTAGGATATACCATTATATCCACAATACCTTTTAAGTTGAAGAGAAAATTCTATAGGACAACTATAATAACAACAATGCTTTATGGATCGGAATGTTCGGCAATATTTAAAAGAAACATGTGCAGAAAACAAGTGTAGCAAAAGTGAAAATATTTTGAAGGCCTTGTAGGTAAACATTAAAATTGGAAATGAAATGAGGGCCTTCTTATGAGATTAGAGGTTGCTCCAATGAGGACCAAATGAGTGAGAATTAGTATGAGATAGCGTGGTCATGTATAACGGAGACCACTAGATGCTCCAGCTAAGAGCGGTAAGACCATAGGCATGTGTGTATTTTTATCATAAATGTTCATACTTGATGCACCAAAAATGCAGCTATAGAGAAAATGATATCTTTTGCAAAAGAATTTAGTCTCAATTGAGCCCTAGTTCTTCTTTCCACTTGTTTACATAAGCTAAAATTTGTTCAGGTCTAGACCTCAAACTGAGCCACAAATACAAATCATCATTTAATACAAATAAAAGTCCAAATCGATAATGCAATATTTTGGCTGATTTTTGTGAGGCCAAAATGTTACTAGATATATCAAGAAAATCACAATATGTCGCCCAAAAATTGCCAAAAGCAGTAAATAATATTGTTACCATATCATTTTGTAGCAAGCCATATAGAAGGATATATTAGGCAATATATCAGCCATGTTGAGGATATTTGAACCGATGATTAAGAAGGATATGCTAGTAGTTAATGTAGAAGATGACCCATAGTAGTAGTCCACTGCCAAAATTTGGGGGGAAAGGCATTGTTGTTGTTGTAAGGATGGTACATCTTTGCCTCTGATTACACTTACTCAGTGCCTGTTGGTTGAAATGCAACTAGTTTCTAATAATGATTCACTTATTACTTGTGTTCTAATATGGCTTGCTTTTGGGGTGGGGTAGCTGAAAATGATGCTGCTGAATCTTTTTCAGCATTAGTTTTGATGCAAGCCAGTGTAAGATCTCTTCACCTAATAACTGAGATTTGAGCCAAGAGGTATGCATCCAAAAACAGAGAGGAATATCCATCGAAACATATTTAGCTTGAACTGCCTGCAAAGTTGCAGAAAGGAAACACTTAGGTGATCCGTATGCTCTCTTTTCTTGGAAGTGGCATTACAAAGTTTTTTTTATTGAATCCAAATCATGTCGTTACGTATGTCCTCATCAATCGTCATAAGTATCAGCATGTTTAGGGGTACATGATCTGATGATTAACCATAACTTGCAGCAGTTTCTGGTCTATTGTATATCCTATTCGTAGGTTAAGTTGATTTTTATGAATTTCCCACATGGAATTTAAGTCAGATTCAAGTTGATCTGATGCTCAATATGCTAGTATTACAGCTACCTTTTGAAGCTGTGATGAACCATGTTCTTGAAGTTCCTGCCATTAAAGAATGTTTCCAGAAGGCTGCCAACATGGGAGATCCAGATGCATTGTTCTTGGCTTTAAAGTTGCAGGAGAGAGTTCCCATAGAGAGTGAAATGCCTGGCATGCTCTTGCCAAGCCCATTTAGTCCTGACACCTTCTTCACTCGAGATCATCTGTCGAATCTTGTCCATTGCTTCAAGGTCAGTTTTAAACCTGATCTATTTTATTTACTTGTGGATAATAGATTGTTTGTGTTCATATTAATTATCAGATATCTTGCCAGGAGTATTAGATGAGTTTATATTTTCTGCTTTGTAGTATGTTGAAGTAATATATAAAGGTCTGAGCATCTAGTTATTCTTAAAATGCTCTAAGATTATCTTTGGTTAGGCATGCCAAGAAGTTCCTCAGTATTTTGATGTTGTTGCTTGATGTTTGGCTTTAAATTTTGTTAGAATTTCTTTTTTATTATTGAGATGCACTATATTACACAACATACATAATGTGTCTAAACATATGATTATTATTGTGAAAGCAGGGCTTGAGATGCACTATATTACACAACATACATAATGTGTCTAAACATATGATTATTATTGTGAAAGCAGGGCTCGTTATTGTAAAATAACTTATAAATACATAATGTGTCTAAACATATGATTATTATTGTGAAAGCAGGGCTCGTTATTGTAAAATAACTTATAAACCCCATTTCACTGAAGTTGCCCAAGGGCGCTTAGCTTCTGTAATAATTCTTGATCTGCTCAAAGGATTGAAACCTTCTTCAGCCTGCTTTGTGGGTGTAATCCCTACTTCAACCTGATTTTTGGTACACTAGGGTGGGATGGCCCCCCAGCTACTGTTTTAATTCCAAGTAGCCCAAAGCAAGTAAAATTTATGTCAGTATTACTTAAAAGGTATTTCGTCATTTCCTACATTCTGGTCACCTCTTCACGAGCACAGTTGTAGGCTCGTAGTCAATAGGCTACATTATGTGTATTTCTTCTGAATAAGTATTTTTAGCTCTCCAAGTGTATGGATGGGTTATTATTATTATCTGAAAAGACAAGTTTTAGTGAATGTTCTATAATAAGTTATTGGGATAATAAGATTCTTTATTTCTTACATAGCTTTAAGGTCTACACATTATTTTTATTATTATTTAAATTTGGTGTTCGACATGGATGAAAGGTCATGTTGTTTCCTGGTGTATCAGACACCGGCTTTTGGTGGGGAAAGTTACAGATTTGTTTTTGCGTTAAATCCAAATATTTTATTAATTTCTCTTTTTTTTTGCATTTTCTTTGGTTGTTACTGTCTAGGTCCCTTTATTTATTTATTAATTTTTTTGGGAGTGAATTCTAAGTCTTTTTCTTCAAATTAAGAGCTCACCTATTTTTTTAGCATGAATTTCTTTCGTTTTATGTTCCCAATCTACAATTTACACCATACATGCTTAAGTATTTACATGCATGTGTTTAGTTGTATTCGTGTATAGTTACTAATTCATGTATAAATTATAAATGATTTTTTTAATGATAGAATGGCTGAAAAGTAAAACGAGAAATAATGTAGACATTGGTAATAAATGGATGTGGAAAAGTTTATAGTTGGCAATTGTGACACTTAAAGAGATGGATCTAAAACTTCTGGTCTTATTCCGCAAATGAACACCAGACTTAGAATTGTTGCAGGAGGACTTAATCATTTAGAATATCCTTATTTATTTACTACCAAATTTGCATTTCAACTGCAAGGAGTTTTTGTGTGCGGGCTTTAATGGAAATTCCTAGTTATTGGTTGCTCGGAATCAACATGCTGATGGCTGTTATACAATGTTTTTATATACTATTGTATTTAAGTTGACATTGACTTGGCTTTTGTTTAAATATCCTACCCTTTCAGGAATCAACGTTCTGTCATCCTCGAGTTCATAGTCTTTGGCAATTACTGGTAAATATGCTTGTACATCCCTTGACATCTCAAGGTGAAGTAGCAGCTTGTGTACATTCTACTAAGAAGCACAAGAAGAGCAGAAAAGGTGGGTCCTGTGAAGAAATGGCAAAGAATGTCCGCTGTTTCTGTGAGGTTGTCATTGAAGAAACACTTCTTTTATCATCTCATGAGAGGAAGCATTTGGCACTGATGGTTCTCCTTCTTCTTCTTCCACGGTTGCCAGCATCTTTTCTCCCATGTGTCCTTTCTTACAAGCTTGTCCAGTGCCTGATGGATATTTTACCTACAAAGGGTTCCCATTTGCATGAAACAGCTCTTTATTTTATGAAGGAGTTAGTTAACTGGATTGGCAATGATGACGACCGGCGTGTTGCAGTGATTATAGCCTTGCAGAAACACAGTAGTGGTAGATTTGATTGCGTCACGAAGACGCATACAGTCAAAGGTTTGGTTGCAAAATTGGTCACTGGTCAAGGCTGCTTGATCTTTGTACATAACATAATGAGTTTGTTTGTAGAAGATGGTATCCTTGCAGATGAACCATCTGATCAGAGTCAGACAACTGATGAAAATTCGGAAATTTGCTCAGTTGATGGTAAGGATGTTCCAGAAGAATCAGGGAATACAGACAGACTCAAGAGTTGGATTGTGGACACCATGCCTCGAGTTTTGAAGAACTTAAAGCTGGATTCTAATGCCAAATCTTGGGCAGACACTGAAATAGTAAAATTTTTGGAAGAAAGGTTTCGGGTGCAGGCAGAAATTATGAAATTTCTAGCAGTTCAGGGTTTATTTTCTGCATCTCTGGGCACAGAAGTGACATCATTCGAGTTGCAAGAGAAGTTTAAGTGGCCTAAAGCAGTCATTTCGAGTTCTCTTTGTAGGATGTGTATTGAGCAGCTTCAGTTATTGCTAGAGGATGCCCAAAGAGGGGAAGTCTCAAATGCTACATCAAGCAGCCTTGAGAGAAATGACCTTGGATCTTACTTTATGTGTTTCCTGAAGACCTTATGCAATATTCCGTCAGTGTCACTTTACAGAGCGCTTAGTGAGAAGGATCAAGAGGCATTCAAAAAATTGCAAGAAACTGAATCTAGACTTCTTCCAGAGGTAATTTATTGTCCCTTCTCTATTCTTGGATGATAGTTGCATGTCTCAATTACAACAACAACGACAAAGCCGTTGGCAAACTTAACTCCTAGCTTTCCCTTCAGTTCTGATACTTTCTGTTAAGCACTTAAGCTAATCACTATCATCTCTTTCTCAGTTGTGCATCCAACTAAGTTGTTTTAGGCTTACCTCTGTTCCTCATTGCTTCATTAATTATAAACTAATCACTTCTCCTATTTAGTGGTTTCCTTTGCATATTGCCAAACCAACCCAATCAATTCTCTCACATTTTCTTCTCAATGAGAGCAGCCTCTAACCTCTTACGACTGCAGTCATTTCTTGTCTTATCTCTTAGAGTATATACCTCACTATCTGTGTTGTTAGTATTTGAGAGAATAATATTTGGTGAAACTTGAGACAATATCCTGAGGA